ACTAGCGTATCGCATAGGACCTGTTTCGTCTTTAAGTCAAGAACTCTTGAAATGTTATAAATTAGTTTTAGATTGCAGTAGGCCGTTCTTATAGTTTTTGTTACATGATCACTGAATCTCAGCCCGGAGTCCATTAGTAAACCCAAATTTTTTGCAGAATCAACGATTTTAAGTGCTTCCGAGTCAATTGTAATGTTTATTCGTTCTTGTAGTTGAACTCGACGGTTTTTGTTCCCAAATATCAACAGTTTGGATTTTGCAGGATTGATGATTAAACAATGCTTTTTTGATGCATCTGATAACTTATTCAGATCCTCATTGATAAGAGTACAAGCTTCTTCTATATTATTATGACTAAAAGAATAATACATTTGCGTATCATCCGCATAATAATGAGATTTACAATGTGATGAATAATTTGATAAATTAGTTGTATACATCATAAAGAGCAGCGGGCCCAGGATTGAACCTTGATGGACTCCAGTAGTGAGATTCAGTGGGACAGAAACTTTATCGCCAATTTTCACAAACTGTACGCGATTAGACAGATAATTTTTCATAATGAGTTGTGCACTGTTGGTAATAATAATAATAATAATAATAATAATAATAATAATTTTTATTTTCTGTTAAATGTATAACATGAAACAGTAAAGTACGTCAAAAAAAAAGAAAAAATATAACAAACAAACAATGCGACAGCATCACAATTAAATACAATATATTCATCACGTTACTAACATTACATAGAATTACATAAAATACTCATCCAGCGTATAGCAGGCCTTTTGAATTAGCTGTTGTTTAAGCCTCTTTTTAAATATATTCAAGTTTTTGGAGCTCTTAAGTTGTTCATCAAGAGAGTTATATAGCTTACAACCAGTATAATGAAAACTTTTCTGGTACAACGTAGTCCGGTGTCTCTCAGGTTGGAGGTGGCTTTTAAAGCGTGTATTATGATCGTGCTTCTCAACAGTATTCAAAAACATGTTTTTATTTTTATAAACGTATAAACAAACTTCTAGTATGTATAAACTAACTACGGTTAGGATGTTGGAAGTTCTGAAATATGCTCTGCAACTTGTTCTCATATCGACACTAGCAAGAATTCGAATTGCATACTTCTGAAGAACCAGTACTCTATTCACATGAGCACAATTGCCCCAATTCAAAATCCCGTACTTTATGTGGGAATGGAAATTGGCATAGTACAACGAGAGTAGTATGTGCCGACTGCAGTGGTTCTTCATAAATTTCAGACTATAACAGCTACTCTGTAATTTTTTGCACAAATTATTGATATGATCAACCCAATGAAGCTGCCTGTCGAAAGTAACTCCCAATAGTTTTACTGACATGCTGCTGGTTATTTCATTATCAGAATCTTCAAATAGTTTGACTACATCTATCCTGCTGGAACCAAAAAGAACAGTTATTGTTTTTCCATGATTAAGTTGTAGATTATTATTTTTTGACCATTTCTCAATATTCGAATAAACCATTTCAGCAGTACTTTTTAGCCTATTTAGATCTTCATCTATAACCAATATATTCGTATCATCTGCATAACACGTAACATGAACATTCTGTATCTTCCGAATATAAAGTATAAGATCGTTAGCGAAAATATTGAAAAGAAGAGGACCTAAAACAGAACCCTGTGGCACACCTTGCTCGATATCCATTTCATCAGAAAAAGTGTTGTTCACTCTAATTATTTGTTTCCTCCTGCTGAGATATGAATCTATTAAATTCAGTGGCAAACCTCTTATTCCATATCTTTCTAGCTTGGCACAAAGTAACTGATGATTCACTAGATCGAAAGCCTTTGAGAAGTCAATGAAAATACCCAAAACAAACATTTTTTTGTCAATACTTGAAATTATTTTCTGACTGAACTCACAGAGTGCCGATTCTGTGCTTTTGTTACTGCAGAAACCATGTTGTTCTGGTGATAGGAGTTTGTACTTGACTAAATACTTGGTTAACCGATCCTTTACTGCCATCTCAAACAATTTAGAGATACTACATAACAGGCTAATTGCTCTGTAATTCACAAAATCATTTGGATCCCCTTTCTTGTGCAGAGGTTGAACTATTGCGAGTTTGAAATTCTCTGGGAATTTTCCTTCTTGAAAACAAAAATTGATCAGATAATTCAGCGGAGCACTAATCCAGGAGCTGCATTTTTTCAATAAATTATTGGAAATGTTGTCATTACCAGAAGAATTGGAGGATTTGAGCCTACTTATTAATGATTCAACTTCAGCAAGTGTCACAGGTTCTAGATAAAATGATGTTGTCGATAAAGGGATATTTGAATCTAAAAAATTATAGTCGCACACAAAATTTTCACTGATATTGATAGTGAACTGATTCGCAAAATGATCGGCGACAATCCTATCTGGTAAAAGAGAATTATTTTGTGTAATAGTCAAAACGTTAGATTTATTATTACCGGCTTTCAGTTCATTAATAATTTTCCACATTGTTTTCATTTTATTATCCGATTCCTGTATTCTCATGTCATTAAAATTGGTTTTAGCTACTCTCAGAGCATTACAGTAATTTTTCTGCAAATATTTGCTGATGTCCTTATAATCATGGTTGGTCTTAGCTAAATCGTTATAGAGAGTAACCTGATTTTTTAACCTTATGATTTCATCAGTGATCCATTCATTATCACATAATTTTCTCTTGCTGTCAATTGATATTTTACGGAGAGGAAAGCAGGAATCCAAATAATAGAACATCAAATTCGAGAAGCTGTTGCACGCTGCATTCAAACTCTCTTGATTGTAAATAGTATGCCATGTTTCAACACTCAGGTGATTTAGGAAAGCAATATGATTTTGGTCATTGAAAGATCTATGCATTATATGATGTTTTGTTTTCCGTTGTCCACAAGGTGTAGAATGCAATATTTCGATGTGTTGTGAAAAATGATCAGATAGTCCAAGATTAAGCACTTCAGCTACACGAAAATTGAGATCAGAATTAACTAAAAAGTTGTCTATACATGTACTAGAAGTTTGTGTTACCCTGGTTGATTCAATTATAGTTGAAGATAAATTGTGACATCCAAGTACGTCGTTTAATAAAATACAGTTGAGATTTCTAACCATTATAGTGTAATATTGCTATTAAGAGTTCATGATTGATGAGATCGAACGCCTTTGAATAATCTAATAAGACGAGTGAAACTAACTGATTTTTATCAATGGCAGAAAACAAGTCGTCCGTGACATTGAGAAGTGCAGAAGTACAACTGTGCTGTGGTCGAAAACCTGACTGGTTGGCCGGTAAAAGCCTATGTATCTCTAAGTACTCCCTTATTTGTGAATTCATAATTTTTTCTAAAATTTTTGAAAGCATAGGTAAGATACTGATTGGCCTTAAATCCTTCAGGTTTTTCGGACTATTAATCTTTGGAAGGGGCAGCACATGTGCTACTTTCCAGCAATCGGGGAAAATGGAAGTTTCTATACAGAAGTTCACGATATGCGTGATGTGCAAAATGATACGAGGACAACACAGTAGAATCATTTTCAAATTTATATTATCTGGACCAGTTGCGTTAGATTTGATTTCAAAAAGATATTTTTTCACTGTTTCTACATCGACTGGGCTGAAATAGAATGTGTCTGAGCCTGCTTTGATATTATTTTCATAAAATTCTTTCATTACTCTATCTGGAGCATTGTTTCCCTGTGCATTACCAACAAAATGTCTGTTGATAACTTCCACGTCGGATAGTTCAAAAGGTAGGCTATAATTATTGTTATACTTCGATCGAATATTCAGGTTCCTTAGAGTTTTCCATAGGGATTTATTTCCCTTATTCTCCCTCACAAGGTTTGAGAAATAAGACTTTTTGTGATGTTCTACTGCTGAATTAGAAAAGTTTCTCATTTGTTTGTAATTTAACCAATCTCGTTCAATTTTTGACTTTTTGAATTTTGCTAATGCGTTATCTTTTTGTCTTATTATTTCTTTCAGGTCAGGAGTGAGCCATGGTGCATATTTCTTAGTAATTCGAGCTTTTCTTATTGGAGCGTGCTTATTGAAATGATTCAGTAGTAGGAGATTAAAAATTCTTACTTTTTCGTTCACATCGTTTTCATAGAAAATTTGATCGAAATCAATTTCCCTCAAGTCCGATTCGAAAGCATCCTGGTTGATGTTCGTGAAATCCCGATAGAAGCGGAATGTTGGTTCAGAATCATTACTGTTGAATTTTACTTTACAGCTTACAAAACTGTGATCCGATAAATTCATTACATCAACTGTCTTACATTCAGTAATCTCAACATGTTCTGAGCTTAGAAATAGATCTATTAAAGTTGCACTGTTTGCACCTACTCTGGTTGGTTCGTTCACATTTTGACATAAATCGAAACCTTCAATTATGGAATTCAAATTTTTGAAATTAAGTGTATTGGTGTTGAGGAAATCTATATTGAAATCACCACCGCAAAAGACATTATCAAATCTGATCGTGACATTACTCAGAATTTCCTCCAACGACGCTAGAAATTCTGTTACAGGAGAGTGTGGTGCTCTATATAAAACTCCAATGCAGTTGGTTGAATTGTTCATCGAAAATGAGATCCATAGCTGCTCAGTATCATTTTGTAAATCTGGAAAGCTCAATAGAGAACTGTTGATCGATGTTTTGATATAAATAAGAACACCACCACCCCTTCCCAGAACCCTGTCGCGTCTATACATTCTATAACCGTCCAAGGACACCAAAGCATCATCTATACCTGTATGGAGCCAAGTTTCGGTGATAAGCAATATGTCATATTCGAGGTAATTCATGTACTCGCTGAATGATAAGAATTTCGGAAGGATTGATCTAATATTGAAAACGCCTATATTGAATTCAGCCATTAATCGTGCAAGAGAATCTACAAATTTTGAGGGACGATATATATAATATGATGATTAGAAGCCATGTTTTTTGGTACCAAATGAATGAAGATGCTGTTACTCTATTAGATTTTATGAAAATCATTTTCAGAAGTGATCAATACGGCCCTAGTTCCCTCCAATTTTCGCATATATATACTGCCATTTTTTATCCACAGATATTTTATGTTATTATTATTTTTATACTCTTTTGCCTTCAAAAACAAGTTTTTATTATAAGCAGTCAAATATTCATTGACATAAATAGTATTATGTTCACGAACAAGATTTTTCAAAGAAATGTCCAAGTCTTTAGTGGAAAAATCTCGTTTAGTTTTACGACATTTCAAAAATTCGTCCCTGTAAGATTGTTTGGCGAAACAAATGATCAAATTGGAATATTTCCGATCAGTTCCCTGAATACGATACGAGTTGGCAATGTGTGATTCAGCCAGCCTCATGCCCAGCGCCGAACCGATAAATTGCGTTGTTAGAAAAACGTTTTCATTTTTTGGCTGTGGCACACCAGTGACTACCAAACAGTTATTCATGCTATTCTGTTGAATTTTGTTACACTTTTGCCTCAAAATGTTATTCTTTTCCATTATAGTCTTCATTTTCAATTCCAGCTTCTCTATATTTTCCCTATTTTCTTGTATTCCAGCCTCATGTTCGAGATCTTTACTCTCCAGATGATTAATTTGAGTATTATGTTTCTCCAGTTTTTGAATAAAATGATTTTGTTGGTCCAGTATGGCTTTCAAGGTATCTCGTATTTCAGACATAGTCTCAAAGTCTGCCATTGGAGATAGTTGATTTTTACTACTGGTGACTTTGTCACTACAAATATCGCACAGCCAGATGAATTCTCCAGAACTGTAGGCCTGTATCTGGGATTCTTGAATTTTGATACAATTTGCATGAAAAGCTTTGGAACAGCCCTTACAATTAATTTTCTGCTTTGCTGACGGACGTTCACCACAATTGTCGCAGTTAGACATTTTTGTGTTCACTGATTATTATTATTTTGGACCAGTCTGGTTTGATGTACACAAGATGAAATAATCTACTTACGGACAAATATATCACTTGAACTAACTTTTATTTCACTGGTGGAAGCCTTACTTTGTATTCTGTGTAAGTTTCGATATTTGATTCACCTTTGTATTTCGTTTATTCAGCTTTATTTTGCAGAGCTTAACAAACATACGTTTTCATCAATATGCAACGTTGCCATCATTATGAGTTCTTAGAGATATTTCTTCAGGCAATGAATTCCAGAGCTATGCCGTTCTATAGATAAACGAGTTTTGATAAAGTGCTGTTCGACATATTTCGAGGTTGACAACGAGAGGATGTACTGACTTGGCTTGTCGAGTCATATCATCACTGCATTGAGAATCGATCAGGTTTAGAGCGGCAAAAAGTTGTCCACAGTGCGAGGCTCTTTCCACCCTTTATGTGATCATTCCTAGTTGACTCTCTGATGAACGATCTTTCCATCTAGGGGTGGATTTCCAATGTTATGCAGATCATCTACACCGTTTCCAGATGTATTTCAGAAAGCGTCAATTCAATTTCAGAAAGCATCAATTGTATTTCAGAATAGTCAATTGTATTTCAGAATAGTCAATTGTATTTCAGAAAGCGTCAATTGTATTTCAGAATAGTCAGTTTGATTTCAGAAAGCGTCAATTGTATTTCAGAATAGTCAATTCAATCTCAGAAAGCATCAATTGTATTTCAGAATAGACAATTCAATTTCAGAAAGGGTCAATTGTATTTCAGAATAGCCACTTGTATTTCAGACAGCGTCAATTGTATTTCAGAATAGTCAATTGAATTTCAGAAAGCGTCATTTGTATTTCAGAAAATATCATTTGAATTTCAGAAAGCGTCAATTGAATTTCAGAAATCGATTAGTTAGTAGAGAGTGCACTCCATGTAAGAATGCATAGCATGTTCAGTGCTTCCTGTAGTGATGTTTTCAATTTAATCACCCCAAATTTCTTTTTTATGTACCTTTAGGTACCTATGTACTATTCGATGAACAGATTACAGGATTTCAGGTATAGGGGACTATCATAGATACACTTATTCCTATTGCTATGAAAAAGTTCTGATTTTTACATGTTTGTCCAATAGGAAGTGACTGATGGCTGTTTGATATTGTAAAATAGGCTTCCTAATAACATTCACAAAATCAAGCTCTGTTGCTATGACGTGAATGTCATGATATTTTCACTATTTATAAAGTTGTCTGGCAGGAGAACACCCCGTGGAAAGTGCCTGGCAATTGTATATTCTCTTTCATGATAAGATCAGATTGAACATAAAAAGATCAGCTTTTGTTGAAACGATGTTTTTGCCAGTTTTTTTTTTCATACTTTCAACACCTGGTATCTCTTGAAAGCCCATCCAGTACTGATGATTTTCAACCCCCAAAACGATTCCACCGAATAAGATATAACACACATAGAAAATATCAACCTTGTTGAAATGATGTCTGGTGGTCGCTGGCTTTCAGTCTATAGAGAACGATTTCTGAAATTCAATTGCCTATTCTGAAATACAATTGATGCTTTCTGAAACTCAATTGACGCTTTCTGAAATTCATATGATACTTTCTGAAATACAATTGACACTTTCTGAAATTCAATTGACTTTTCTGAAATACAATTGATGCTTTCTGAAATAGAATTGATTATTCTTGAAATACAATTGACGCTTTCTGAAATTGAATTGACTATTCTGAAATACAATTGACGCTTTCTGAAATACAAGTGACTATTCTGAAATTGAATTGACGCTTTCTGAAATACATCTGGAAAAGATGTAGTTCTAATAGTAAGAGAACAATTTGAAGTAACGATGTCACACGGCCTACAAGAAGCATTTAATACTGTTTACAGATGGTTGAAGAGGAAGCAGATGTCTGTGAACCCCCGGAAAACTTTAATCATTCCTTTTACCAAAAGGCAAAAGCCAGATAAGCTTCGTCAGCCTGTCCTATATGAAGAGGGCATTCCGTTTGCGGCAGAGGTGAAATATCTAGGGGTCACCCTAGATGAAAGACTCACTTGGAACGCCCACATGGCAAAAACTAATAATAAAGCCAGATTCTCCCTCTGGAACCTCAGAAGGGTATGCGGCAAATCAATGGAAAAACCAATGGTCACGTTGGGCTTGGTAGTCTACACCTTTTCCAGATGTATTTCAGAAAGCGTCAATTTAATTTCAGAATAGTCACTTGTATTTCAGAAAGCGTCAATTGTATTTCAGAATAGTCAATTCAATTTCAGAAAGCGTCAAATGAATTTCAGAATAGTCACTTGTATTTCAGAAAGCATCAATTGTATTTCAGAATAATCAATTCAATTTCAGAAAGCGTCAATTGTATTTCAGAATAATCAATTCAATTTCAGAAAGCATCAATTGTATTTCAGAATAGTCAATTGAAATTCAGAACGTGTCAATTGTATTTCAGAAAGTATCATTTGAATTTCAGAAAGCGTCAATTGAATTTCCGAAAGCATTAATTGTATTTCAGAATAGTCAATTGAATTTCAGAAATCTTTCTCTATAGACTGAAAGCCAACGACCGCCAGACGCTATTTCAACAAGGTTGATATTTTCTATGTGTGGTATCTCTATTCGGTGGAATCGTTTTGTGGGTTGACAATCTTCAGTACTGGATGAGCTTTCAAGAGATACCGGGTGTTGAAAGTACAAAAAAAAAACTGGCATAAACATCATTTCAACAAAAGCTGATCTTTTTATGTTCAACCGGATCCTATCATGATAGAGAATATACAATTGCCAGACACTTTCCACGGGGTGTTCTCCTGCCAGGCAACTTCATAAGTCGTGAAAATATTATGACATTTACGTCATAGCACAGAGCTTGATTTTGTAAATGTTATTAAGGAGCCTATTCTACAGTATTCAAACAGCCAGTCACTTCCGATTGGACAAACATGTAAAAATCAGAACTTTTTTATAGCAATAGAAAGAAGTTTATCTCTGATTGTCCCCTCTATACCTGAAATTCTGTGATCTGTTCATCAAATAATATATAGGTACCTAAAAGGTGCATAAAAAAAATTGGGGTGAATAAATTGAAAACATCACTACAGGAGGCACAGAACATCCTATGCATTCTTACATGGAGTGCACTTTCTACTAACTAATCGATCTTGATGCATTCTGAAATTCAATTGACGCTTTCTGAAATTCAAATGATATTTTCTGAAATACAAATGACGCTTTCTGAAATTCAATTGACTATTCTGAAATACAATTGACGCTTTCTGAAATACAAGTGACTATTCTGAAATACAATTGACCTTTTCTGAAATTAAATTGACTATTCTGAAATACAATTGATGCTTTCTGAAATTGAATTGACTATTCTGAAATACAATTGATGCTTTCTGAAATTGAATTGACTATTCTGAAATACAATTGACGCTTTCTGAAATACAATTGACTATTCTGAAATACAATTGATGCTTTCTGAAATTGAATTGACGCTTTCTGAAATACATCTGGAAAAGGTGTAGTGGAAATACAAATGACGCTTTCTGAAATTCAATTGACTATTCTGAAATACAAGTGACTATTCTGAAATACAATTGACCCTTTCTGAAATTAAATTGACTATTCTGAAATACAATTGATGCTTTCTGAAATTGAATTGACTATTCTGAAATACAATTGACGCTTTCTGAAATCAAATTGACCATTCTGAAATACAATTGACACTTTCTGAAATACAATTGACTATTCTGAAATACAATTGACGCTTTCTGAAATTGAATTGACGCTTTCTGAAATACATCTGGAAAAGGTGTAGTACAATCGGTTATATTTCCTTAATTAAATTGTGACCTGTATGAGGATTCCAAATTCCAAAGTATCGTATAATTGTGAAAAGACATCTTTCAGAGGCTATACATGACTATTTTCCAATTTACATCTTCAATATTTCAACTTCTCCTATATCAAAACCAAACGGTATCCTCTTCAGAACGAAAAATGTGTTCTGAAAATGAGCACTGTTTCACGTTAATAGTAATTAACGTAACAAGTCCGGAAAATACTGTTTCTTTAGACGAGTAGACAGAATTCTAGGCCGAGTCGTAGGCGAGTCCTGGAAGTCTGCGAGTCCAAAAAACTGTTTTTGTACGTGTTGCGTCCACATTTTTTTCGGTAACCATAATTATGTAGAATAATAATTCAATGAGGCACATTTCCATGTTATATTTTTTTGTGGAATACAATTTTTTTTTTATTAAGTTTTATTTGTATCAAATGCTGAAATTTTAACAGAATACCTTTACCTATTAACTGCTACATTGGAAATTTCGTATGGACATTTTCAAACTCACTATCGCTGCTGCTGCGATGATTGCAACCAAACTTTCAAGAATCCAAATGTCAACCAATTTCATGTCAAATTGCTGTCAGCCGATATTTCGCTGCTATGGTAATTATCATCTGCATTCATCAAAACAGAGATGTACAGAAATTTAACTGGTGGGCTCACTCTTCAATTGTTTCGTCAGACTAACTCTCGATATGGAACAATTGCAAGCGAGTTTTGAACGTGGGGTTCAGGTATTTGCGATAGAGGCGCCATGATCGTACAAAACCTTGGTTCTGTGAGGGATGAATCTATCATCATCATTGTTCTGTGGTCGAATAAATACTGTGCTCAACATTTTCATTCAAATTTCAATTCAAAATAAAAGCAAGAAATCTTTTTTGTAGTCGATTTTAATAAGCTTCACTTCTTTCATGACATGAACCTATTTAAAGCATGAAATCTGATGAATTGCCTCATTGAAGAACCAGAACAAAGAATGTATGAACTATTGAAATAGACCAATATCGAAAATCATAATAGGCAGATATGGTAACTGGTACTTACCTTAGAATTTATTCACACCAGTTCACGCTAATATTTCAAATCACTGAAATAATACTGTTGTAGAACAGA